TGGCAATCCCAATTAATCATATTACAATTAAGGAATTATGCTGCTGATACAAAAGTATCCACTTTTACTCCACCAGTTGTTTCACGGAAAAGGATGAGCATTCTCCTCCTATACAAGTTACTGCCTCTGAAAACCCACTGGAGGGTCAGCTGTGGGTCTGATCCAGCCTGACAGTACACACCACGGTACTTAGGGAACTCTGGTGGCTTAGTGGTGAGGAGTCGCACTGCTGACCCAAAGGCACAGGGCTTGAATCTACCAGCTGCTCCAGGGGAGAAATATGGGAAATCCCTCTCTCGTGAGTTACCGCCTCTGAAAAACCCACTAGAGGGTCAGCTAGTAGTCCGTTCTGACCTGACAGCACATAAAAACAACTGTAACTAATGTTAGAAAGTTGTATGAATGACTGAATGAAGTTGTAATTATAATAGTATAAGGCAAAATGTGAATAAATGACCAAAAAATGATCAAGCCGAATATGATTTTTAAACTTGCCCTCAAATTAAAAAAAAAAAATCCTTTAAAAAAAATAGGAGCTTCATTCTGAAGGTGGCAATTACACTGGACTCAATGACCTCCTTCCAATTAGAAGAATGTTGTGGGAGTGGAGGTGCTTGGCCTCTAAGAGGAAAGGCTGGGAAAGGGTCCGTGGCTTTGTCCTTGCGCTCCCTGAAGGCTCTCACTCTGACAGAGGCCGCTCACCATGTCATGAGGATACTCAGAGCACCATGGAAAGGCGCTGATGGGACAGAACAACCAGCACCGCGTTGCTGAGCCAGGAGCAAGAGCATCCTCCAGATTCAGTTAAGCCCTCAGCCGACTGCGACCCTGCCTGATATGATAACCATCTCATGAAAAACCCTGAGTTAGAACCACCCACAGAAACGGTTAGATAATAAACAATGACCCTTTTAAGTCGGGAAATTTTGGAGCCATTTATTACATGGCAATTGATAACTAAGACATTTCTCCAAACAGAGCTAGTAAGTGGTAAAATAAATGTGTGAATACTGTCCCCAATCCTGATGCTCTTAATCAAAATCCAATACTGCTTAAAAGGGATATGTGATTAGGTATTTTTGCAATGACAGGAGTCTAGAGCGAAGGCTACATGGTGGAGTGGACCTGAGGGAGGGTTTGTAAAACAATGAAATAATTTGTCTTTTACTGTTCCAAGAGGGTAGTGTACTAGGGGGGAGGGTTGGGAGGGGAGAAAAGTGCAGCAATGAATGAATGGAAATCCAAAGTCTCTGTAAATTTTTACTGAAATTAATAATAAATTTAAATAAAACAAAAAAAATCCAATACTGCTCCAAGAGTTGTTATGTACCATCAAGTCACCAGCGACTCACAGCGCCCCTAGTACAACAGCCCTGAACCCTGCTCTATACCTTGCCAATCTTATTGTCTCTGACACACCCACCCCCCCCATAACCCTAGTCACTGAATCAATCCATCTCATTGAGAGTCTTCCTCTCCTGCTCTGTCCCTCCACCCTCCCAAGCATGACGTCGTTCTCCAAGGACTGGTCCCTCCTTGCAACATATCCAAATTACGTCAGATGGAGCTTCAGAATCCTTGCCTTCAAGGAGCAGCCTGGTTTAACCCTCTCCAGGACAAACCTGTTTGTTCTCTTAGCAGTCCATGGTCATCCCTAGTCATTGTCCAGCTCTCCGATGCATAGCAAGTGATTACAAAGACCATGCCCTGTGTGAGACACACCTTATGTCTCCAGACTGACATCGTTGCTCTGGAGATGTCTCTGACAGCAAACTTTCCCAATGCAATTCGTCTTTTAATTTTCTGGCTGCTGGTGTCACGAATGTTGATTGTGGAGCCAAGCAAACTAAAGCTGTTTACAATCTCAGTCTCTTCACCATCCATCACGATGCTGCTAATCGGCCCAGCAGTGAGAATCTTTTGTTTTCTTGATGATGAGCTTCAATCTGTACTGAAGGCTGCAGTCCACTCATTTATATTTTACTTTCTTTAAAGAACTTTGACAGAGTATCTCCCTCGCATCCTATCTTCTAACTTCTAGCTTTCAGCTCTGCTCAAAAGGCCCATCTTGCCGCCAACAGTCACCATATTTAGCTAAGACCAATCTTATTTGGTTATTAAAAGTGAGAAAATAATCTTTCATTTTCCACATAATGCAGTGACTTGTAAAGTTACACCAATAAAGCCTTGTCTTAGAAATACACATGCTTATTTTTCATTTACTAATAATTTACAGTCTGCAAATTTGTTGAACATGAATCTGCTTTCCATTTCATGATAAACAAGAACAGACAGGCTCAAGTTTGGAAGCTCCACAGAACACAAAGTTTCCTCATTCTTTATCCTTTTAATGTGTAGTCATTCTTAAGAGTGAAAGGGAGTAAGGGACCAAACTAGTAATATCTGGGGGATTTAAGGTCTCACAATGAGAAAGGTAGTCACTAGTCCAGTCAACTACGCATTCTCAGAACAGGCGAACGCAGGCAAAATATGTGGCACTTGAGTGCTGGGGAGACCAACGGAAGGTCTCTATTTCACACTTTGGGCCTGTTGTCAGGAGGTGCCAATTGATAGAAAAAGACTCAGGAAAACAAAGGGTCAGACAAAAAGACGCCATCACCCAACAAGAGGTGCTAACAGTGACTGCAAGAATGGGATTGCGAGGATGGCACAGAACAGGGTCAGGTTCCAATGTACAAGGTCACCATGAGGCAGAGTGAAAATGAAGGCACTGAACAACAGCAATAACAACTCTATGTAACCCATGGCGGTGAATTCCTCACCCAACTTCCTGCTGCCTCACTTTCCTGACACTGTTCCTGCAAAGGTCTGGTGGGGAAATACTTTCAAAAGAAAAGTGGCTAAATACATATTCTTTTCTCTAAATTTCTTCTTTGTTCTTTACACGATGGCTTAAAATAATGGAGCATGACTTGGGATTCACCTTCTAGAGAGATCTTTCCTGAAAATCCTATATAAAATTGAGCCTGTCAGTATTCTGCATTCTCTTCCTACCATTTTATTTTCCTCTTGTTGTTTTTGTTAGGTGCTGTTGAGTCAAATATGACTCATAGCAACCCTATGAACAATAAATCTGAACCCTGTCCTATCCTGCGACATCATCACACGTCCTGACACACAAGAGCCCACTGTAGCAGTCAGCATGTCAATCCACCTGGTTGAGGGTCTTCCTCTCCTTCACTGACCCTCCATGCTTCCAAGCGTCGTGTCCCTCTCCAAAGAATAGCCCTTCCTTGCAATATGTCCAATGTATGAGGGGCAAAGCCTAATCATCCTTGCCTCCAAAGAGCACGCTGGCTACACCCTCTCCAAGAATATTTGTTTGTTTTGTCAGTCCATGGGCTATTCAGTGCTCTTCTCCAACACCACAGCTCAAAGGTATCAATTCTTCTGTCATCTCTCTTCATTATCCAGCTCTCAGATGCATAAGTGATCAGAAAGACCATTGCATGAATCAGACACACTTTAGTTCTCAAACTGACATCATTACTCCTCAATGATTTGGAGAGGTCCCTAACTATAGACTTTCCCAGTGCAATGCTTCTCCTTATTTCTGGACTGCTGGTACCAAGGATGTTATTTGTGGATCCAAGTAAGATGAAGTTGTTGACAGTTTCAATCCCTTCTCCATCCATCATGATGTTGCCTATCAGTTCAGTGGTAAGAAGTTTTGTTTTCTTGACATTGAGATGCAACCCATACTGAATTCCTTGATCTTCTGCAACAAGTGTTTCAAGTCCCCCTCACTTTATTTATGTATTGTATTGCACTCCCACTAGAGTGTAGACAGGATGAAGGCAGGGCTATCTGGATACTTTGCTTCTGCTCCGTACCAAGATCCAGAATAATAAATGTCAGGCATAAGAGAGATGCTGTTGTTGTTGTGTATCGCTGGGTCAGAAGTGATCCATAGCTGACCCTCCAGTGACTTTTCAGAGACAGTAAATCACATGGGAGGAGACTGTCCATCCCTCTACCACAGGGGAGCTGGTGGATTCGAACCCGTGCCTTTAGGGTTGCAGTACAGTCTCTTACCACTAAGCACCAGAGCTCCCTATATGAGAGATACTCAGTAAAGTTTTCTTGTACAAATTATGTCAATTTAGAAATGAAACAGGCCATAAAGCCAAGGAAAGGCGCAAACTAGATGAAATCAAATCAACATGAATAGACAAAAACATATGTTGGAGCTCAATAAAGGCGAGTCATAGAAGGATACACAGCTTTCTTCCCCTGTAGACTGGGCTGTTATACATTGTTATGAGGGTTAAATCTGTCCATTCATGTAAACGTTCCCAACAATGGCTCTTAACAAATGGTAAAAACACTCCATAAACATTAGTTGTTACTATCGCTATTGCCATCTCATTGGCTAACAATGGCTCATAAGAAAGAAAGGAGGGGAAAAAAAGAGCTCATGAAAATCAAGACTACAAATCTTTTATGACTACAAACCAATTTTAAATCGTTAGAAAATGAATTTTAAGAGAAGAGAGCCGGAAATATTCTCCAGCACACTGACTAGGTCTGTGAGGGTAAGAAGATCCAGAGTAAAGTGATGGGTAAGATATTTTAAATGAAGCATTGATGCATGAATCACTCAGACAACTAAAAATGAATACTTAGAAAGGCTTCATAGTATTATTTTCTGAGGGGTGATGACCTTCAAAGAGAGCAGGAGAGAACAGAACACAGGGATGGGAGAAGGGGAGAAAGAAAGGCACAGAGTGAGAGAGGGACAGAGAGGAGAGAAATTGCTTAGGATAGGAAATATTGAAAAGCTTTATTTCTGAAGTCCTTCTTAGAATAATCACTGCACAAATAGAATGAACTACCCGGGACTGAAAAGCCTCATTGAGCCTAGAAACAGAAATATATCTGACTCGGGGTCTTAGGTGGATTGCATGAAGTAAAACATTATCATTATATCAATCTTAAAGTTAGGAGCAAATTGTTCGAAGCTCCGTGTCGGTACTTACTGATCCGCTAGCCACTCGGCCACGAACGGAATGGAGAAGAATTCCGTGAACGGCTCGTCTCTCCTCTTTTGATTCTGACTGATCATCAGCGCCCCACGTTTGAACGAGAAGAAAACAACGAGCAAGAAATTCAAGTCACTTGTTGCTGCTCTGCTTGCAAATGAACATGACAGAATCCCCAGAGTCACTGGACATGCAAAGACACGAACGAATAACTTACTTGTATAACCACTCCGTCAGAAAATCGCAGGCGATGAATTTCGTTCTTTTCCGCTAAAGAAAGAAGAGATTCAAATTATATATTTATTTTGCCCACATGTCTGAGCAGGACTAAGGAAGAAAGGTTAATTAATTGCTGGTGACAGATGAAATACACATGTGTCCTTTTGTGAGGTTTACAAGCACATAGACAATGTAAAAGATTTTTAAGATATTCCTCCAATCATTTTTAGGTAAGTATATTTTCTGAGAGCAAGCACTAACAAAAGGACAGGGTATACAGTAGAAGCTTATTACATGCTTTTGGAACTACCTCTGGAGGACGTGTGATTTGGCTCTAGATAAAGACTCGAGTTCTCTTTTCTGAGTAATTATATTTCAGATTTTGTCTAGTCTTATTCAAGTCCTCAAAACACGTGACAATCAAGGGCACAGGTACCACTGGTTGATGGCTCTCCTAGTTTTCCACCCAATATCTTGTTGTTATTGTTGTTGTTGTTGTTGTTAAGTGTCGTCGAGTCATAGGCGACTCATAGCAACCCTATGAACGAGTGTCCTCAACACTTGTGTGACTTGCATCCTTTCTCCAGGTTCACAGGGTTTCCAAGTTATTTTCAGGAGTGGATGCCACTCCTGCTTCCAAACTTGTTTTAATTAGGGAGCTCCACCAAACACTGTCTGTCATGGATAATCGTTAATGCACTTGACATATCAGTGTCACAGTGTTCAGCTTCACAGCAACCACAAGTTACCTCTGTATAGCAAGTGGACACACCAGGGCTATATGACCTAGCAGAAGGTTTGAACAAAAACAATGAAAAACAGGTCTGAGGGCTGCAGATTAGAAGTCACCCACCTTTGGCTTGGTAACATCACTTCCTGTCCACTAGGCCAACTGGTCTCTCTCTATGTTGATGTTATTGTTATTGTTATTAAGTGCTGTCAAGTCGTAGGCAACTCATTGTGACCCTATGAACGGAAGTCCTCAACACTTGTGTGACTTTCATCCTTTCCTTTAACCCAATATCTACTCGCTGCTTAGTCCTTATTAACCAAAACCTGTTTACAAAGGACAATCATCCCAGATAAACCACCACATTTCCCATCTTCCCACGCAGCAAGGGCAGCCACGTGGCCTACCCATTTCTATTTCATGGCAGAAGTGATAGAAATGGACATGCCTCAGGGATGTCTGACAAAGTTCCGTTTTCTGGGCACAGGAACTGCTCCGTCGTCCTTGCCAACCTCATCTACATCTTTCAGTCCAGGACACAGGTGTGAGACTAAGCACCAGCTGAGGAGAGTGGTGCAGGGAGCTGGAAGGAGCCTGGGCCACTTCCTCAAATCACCACACCAACTTGGGCCTGTCTTACTCTGGACATCTTGTCATATAAAGAGGAATACACTTCACTAGTTTGTTAGCACTGCTTCTCAGTACTCCCTGGATGGATCAAATGTGGTTCCTAGGTGATACAATAGCCAAGAAACCAAAAGGAAAGCGGCCCCGAAACAACAGGAATAAGTCAGAGTGAGAATGGGAATGGGGTAAAGCAACGGGTATCCTGTCTCTAATTTCCATCTAAAGATTTTTCTTGTAAACCAAACAGAGCCAATCAATGCCTTTTAGAGTTGCTATGGAGACAATGAGTCCTTGGTGGTCCTTGTCTCCTGCAGGGATTAAAAACCAAACCCTGGCTGCTATGAGGTAAGAACTTTCCCAAGAAAGAAGGCAACACAGAGCGTGCTGGGAATTCTCTCTTTACCTCGCCAGTCCATCTTCTCCAAGTGGTGCCTCAGGACGTCGTTTTAATGTTCAGATTTTCTTGCCCTTTTGTTAGGTCCAGGTAATAGGAGGCAGCGGGAGGAGGGCCCAGGAGCAGGAGAGAAGGAACCCTGTATATATTCTCCTGCTTCGTCCCTGTAGGCCTGTGGACAGGCAGTAGCTGTGTTCTTCTACCAAAACCATCACTCCTGTTATTTCTTCATCAGTAATTTCCCACTTGTCTCTCAAGATACCTTCTTTCTGATCATCCTCGCCCCGTCTGGTTTAGGGTAGGCTCTCTCTCAGTTCTCTGTGGCACCTCAGATGGTAACATTACTACCTGCCAGGGAATCTTGTTCCTCTACTGATCGATGAACAGGACTGGACTCTCAGGACAGGACATCTATTTGTCTTTATATTTGCACTGCTCAACAGTGTGCCTTACATACAGTAAGTGATCAATAAATATTAAGTCCATGAATGGATGATTCTACCATTCAACTCTCAATCATCAAAGCAGAAAAGAACTTGTACATAAGAACGCTGATGTCTGAGCATGTGGGTCGCTAATACAATTTTGGACAGTTTTCCTCATAATATTTTTTATTACAAAACTTCCTGCTTCTATTATCCCCCTTCCCTCGGACCCGGTCAGCTCACCTTTATAATCCTAGTTAAGTTCAAAAGATTGTCATGAAATTGAAGTCCCCCACAACACAAAGTGCTATTTGATACTTTTCCATTGAAAACCAGACTACAGTTCTTAGTAAACAAAGCACCATGGAGCCTGAATTGTTGGAGATTACTTGTAGGTTTTTACTTCATGACTGATTGCCCTTTATTTTTAAAATGGAAACGCTACTAGCCAAGGTAATAAAGTAAAATGTATTGAATTTGGCAAAGCTGCATGGCACAGGTTAACAAGTAAAAATCAGCAGAGTTTCAGTTCATCAATAAGGAGAAATCTGAAATGAAAATTGCCGAGACAATCTTTATACTTTAAACCAAATATCTCTTAAAGACTTCTTAAAACCAGAGCAAACAATAATTTAGCTTGAGGAGGGGGGAAATTTTGCCTTATATTCTTTTTTAAAAACTTCATACTCCTTTGTCATCAAGTAGGAAGCCACTCAGAGCTAAGCATCCAGCTGGTTTTCATAGGCTATAAATTGCACCAGATAAGACAGAGCTGCTAGTTGAAGTAACTCCTTACCCACTAGGCCACCAGAGCTCCTTTTTGTGATCTAAAGATCTGGCATAATTTTAAGAGGCTGCATTGCCAACCCGAAGGCACAAGGTTCAAATCTACCAGCTGCTCCACGGGAGAAAGATGGGCAATCTCCTCCTGTGTGATTTACTGCCTCTGAAAACCTACTAGAGGGTCAGTTATGAGCGGTACGTGACAACATATAGGATTAAACTGGCACCAGGAACTCAAAAATACTAGACAGGAACCTAGGGGGCAGTGAGTTTATGCTAACGGGAAGAACAGCTCAGAAAAGGAGGGTGAGAATGGCTGCACATCTTTCAGAATGCACTCATAATCACTAAAGGGAACATGCAGAAAGGCTGGGCTTTTCTATGTTTTACTGAGCTTATTTTCAACAGCAAAGCAGAGATGGTGCGGCTGACTCAGGAGAGGGCAAGGTTATGCGCTGCTGTTCACAGATTGCTCTGAGTACTTAACTTGATAGCACACAACAATAGAAACAAGGGTAAAACAGGAGACAGGTGGAGGGTGTGGAAGTACCTTCACAATTTTTAATTTTTTTTTTAAAAAAGAGCAGAAACTTGTTCTAACACAAGATTTTACTTTAAAAGAAAGAAAATGTGCCAGCCTGTGTATTTGGGTGCTTCGAGTCTGCCCTGCGGGATCAGAATTCCTTTCACAAGTCGTCTTTAACCAAAATCAGAAAATACTTGCTTCAACAATGTAAATGTGTAAGTAGCATGAATTGCCGTGCAGTAATCGAAACAATCCAGCAATTGTAGGTGGGGCAGTGTTTCTTTCTGGTCCTACAAAAGACGCGTTGTTTCCTTGGCATTCACAGCACCGAGGGGTGGTAAAAATTCCTTTTATGAAGGGAATACAGCTTGACTTAATCAAATGGACGTTCAAAATAGTCAAGTGGTCTGATGGATGAAGGTCATAGAGATCAGTTCAATCACTTTTGAGGGAAAGAAAGAAAATGGGAGAAATTGTGTTTTCCTTCTGTGCGGGGTAAACGCGGACGTGCGGTGCATGCTCAGACACACGCGAAACAGAGGGGGTATTGTTCAGCTGGTTAGTTTAAAAATTATCTGCTGGAGAGCTGAAAGGGAGAGGAGAAAGCAAATGAAAAGTTGAGGTGAGTGAAGAGATAAGAGAGGAAGCAATAGAAAGAAAAACACAAAGAGTAAGAGAAAGAGACTGTGAGCTCCCAGGGGGGCCCATGTAACATGGTCAAATCCACTGAGGTGAAAATGCGCATGTTTGGGGAGCAGAGTAACCGATTAAGGCAACCTCAAAGAGGACTAAAAAGAATTAACACACTCTCTCTCTCTAAAAGTAAGAGGAAAAAGATGAAATGCCAAGGATTAAGATGTCATCATGTTATCATGTGGCTGCAACAAACAAAGCAAAATGTGAACCGAAGACTCTAGCCAGTGGACATGTGGCCATTCTTACAATTCTTCTTTGTTTTGAGACTTCTATTTTTTTTTTAATAACAAAATTTAGGGAAAAGGACAAATACCATTATGAAGATACAAATCTTAAAGAGAGAAAAGGCAGAAAGGGTTAGATCCAAATGTTGTCGTTTTTATGTCTGAAATCCACACAGGAGACAGATGGAGGGCTGACGCCTGGGACGAGAAACCACCAGCACTGGAAAGTGAGTGAATGTATGGCAGCTGACTAATGCAAATCCACCCTAGAGGAAAGGAAAAAAAAAGGAATCGGAAGCAAACACTGTGGAGTATCAGCAGCTATGAGAATGTGATGATTGAGACACTTGGACTTTGCAAGCAATAGATACAGATGTACCTTGGTTACGCAGGGTATACAGAAAAAGCTGAAGACAGTGGTGGTTCAACAGCAATTGTTTTCCATATGAGAGACTTGGTTTCAGTTTTCAGCTAATGCACTTCTAGAATGCCACAATTTGTCTGTCAGGGGAGCCCTGTGTGTTTCTGGGAAGCTCAACAGAGTCTTGTAAACAAAGAGAGACTAGGAAGAAAGGCCTGGTAATTGCTTTGCAAAAATTAGTCCATGAAACCCCCTATGGATTATAATGGTCTGATCTCATTGTAC